TGGGGACACGATTGAATCACATATGGTCGGGTAATGTCCAAAATACACATTATAGGGGAAAAAGTTACTCAACCAAAATTGTTCACAACTGTCACTGGAATGGAGTATAGGATCTGGATCCCCTTAAATCTGTCTTTTCCACGAATATACTACAATACTATCTGGAAATAATTATAAAGAACAGCTGGGTATTACTGGGCTACCTAAATGCAGCAAAAAGTCTTTGATTCCAAGTATTTGGCGTACAGTGTGAGAGGCACACCGAGTGTTAAGGGAAGAATTGGATGATCAGAGAGTAATCAGATTGCTAGATCAGGGAAAAACACTATTATCTACAGGAACCCCCATAGGATGGTGACTAGAGATGGAGCAAATCGAACTAGCGAAGTGGAATTCGTTTATTTCGAAGATTCAGGAAAAATTCGATTCGCGCACAGACTGAAAATTAGCAGACTTACGGACATGCGGTCGACAAATATCGAATTATTTCCAAAAATGGACGGTCAACAAGTGTGGGCGACGGAGCGGTGGTGGATCTCTGGGAAGGCGCGCAGAATCAAGGCGCAACGTAGACCCATAAATTGCAACTTCATATCATGACATGTGATCGCATTAGCCTGGGATCAGCATTGTTAGCCAGCCGAGCACTTGTGTAATGGTGAGCTCTCTAACTTGCGTGGCCATCTCATAGTTTTCTCCATTAGCCTCCCGAGTCATTCAGAGGACATAACCTCTGTGTGTGATTTAGGGACAGAGTTAGAGGCCAAAGAGACTTGTTACTGGGCCACAGAATCGTTACTTAGGGACACAGAATTGTTACTCAGGGACACAGAATTGTTATCAGGGACAGACACAGAATTGTTACTCAGGGAAGGACACAGAATTGTTACTCAGGGGACACACACAGAATTGTTACTCAGGGGACACAGAATTGCTTACTCAGGGACACTCACCGAATTGTTATCAGGGACACAGAAATTGTTACTCAGGGACAGAAACAGAAATGTTACTATCTCATAGGTACACCCGAATTGTTACTCAGGAACGGACACAGAATTGTTACTCAGAGGACAGACACAGAATTGTTACGTCCAGGGAACAGACACAGATTATGTTACTCAAGGGACTATCAGAATTGTTATCTCAGCGGACACAGAATTTCGTTTACTCTGGGACAGACACAGAAATTGTTACTCAGCGGACACATGGTGTAAGGAATTGTAACTCAGGGACAGACACAGAATTGTCGCTACTCCAGGGACACAGAATTTGGTTTACTGAGGGACACAGAATTGTATAACTCAGGGTCGACACAGAATTGTTACTCAGGGACACAGAATTGTATACTGAGAGACACAGAAATTGTTACTCAGGGGGACAGACACAGAATTGTTACTCAGGGACACAGAATTGTTACTCAGGGTCAGACACAGAAATTGTTACTCATGGACACAGATTGTTACTCAGGAACACAGAAATTGTTAACAGAGGGACGACAGAATTGTGTTACTCAGGGACAGACACAGAATTGTTACTCAGGGACACAGAATTGTTACTCAGGGACACATGAAATTGTTACTGGAGGACACAGGAATTTTTACTTGAGGGAACACAGAAATCGTTTACGTTATTTTTGGGGTGCTATAGAATTAAAGAGTATGTCAGACAACACGCCAGAGGAGGTGGGCAGAGGAGGGCAATTTTCGGAGCGGCAACGGGCAGCAGAGGAAAGGGGTGAGGCAGGGACAGCGCAGCCAGAGGCCAGTTTCCCCGGGTCACCCCGCGGCGTGCCCCACCGACAACCCTGCCGTCTCGATTTTGGTTGGCTCGGTCGTCTTCCCTTCCCCGGGCCCTTGACACCTCACCAACTCGGGGGTACGTAGCACAACCGTTTGTTGGCATGGGGCCCCGGAGCAAGCCCTGAAATACTGTCCTCTCCCGCCCCTGGCTTTGGGTTTTTCCCCCACCGCGAAGTTGAGCTGTGGGGCTCAGCCCCCCTGTACAGTGGGAAGAGCTAAAAGAGGGGGGGTCAGGAAGGGGGGGGGACATCGCCTCTTCGCAGCCAGGCCCAAGAAGTATGGGGAGGAGAGTGGCTCGGAGGGGGTAGAGACAGGTCTGTCCCCCGACCCACACCCCGAGGGGGGCTAGGTGAGGGGGGACCCTAATTGATGAGTGGGCTGTCGCACTTGGCCCCCCTTTTGCCCCAGGGTATTGCTTCCGCATCTCAGGAGAAGGGGTGCCACTTTGGGAGCGAGCAAAAAAAGCGGTGGGTTGCACAGAGGCAGCCAAAGGGTCGCAGCAGTGTCAGTGGGGCAAACGGCCACGGAGTAAGGGACCAAACCCACTCAGCCTACCCCACGGCCATAGTGGTGCCGGGTGCCGGAGGAAGTAGCAGTCACCAGTGAGGGGTAGCGGGGGCAAAGTTTCCTACTCGGCGGTGTGGCAATTTTGTCAAAGCCGCCCAGGAAGTAAAAAGTAGCCGTATGTCGACATGTGGCCAGAAAGTCAAACGGGCCCGGGGGGCCCAGTGGGACTACAGCGTTGCGTCAGCATAGCGCGTCGCCATTCGGTTGGCCGGGAAAACCGTGAAAAAATACGGCGGTTCTGCCGCCCCAGCCCCCGCCCATCACCCACCGTTATTTGCTCCGTCCCCGACCAATCGCCCTTACCCAGTCAAGGCCCCAAACCTCTGCTGAGGGAGTTGTCCTCGTTGGCATCTTTTGTCATTCGACCCTTCTCCTGCTACCCCTCTTCCGGGTTCCATCAGCAGTCTTTTTTGAACCGTTTCCAAAAGACAAAAAGTTTTTCGAGCACGCACCCGACGGGGCAGAAGTGAAGCCTCCCGTCCAAGTTTCTGGTGCTCAGTCCCCCCTTTCCCAATGGTGGACCAGCCCTTTCCGAGAAAGATGGCTTGTGCCCGCGCCGCGGTGGAGGGGTGCCAAGCCCCGGGATTTCTTCGCCAAAAAGGCAGTGCCAGCCCGCATTCACATGTAAAGAGATGGTGGCCAGCTTTGACATGTCGGGTTTTGCCAAAGTGCACGGCAGCGCCCCACGTGTGGGCTGTAACTACGGTCAAGAAGACAGCATTTTTGGCCCATGGGTGAACGTGGGCCGGGACAGCCCCACCACAACTTGGACAGGTAAAGCCGCTTTTGCCTCCCCTTTGCACGCCTTGGTCCGCAAAGAGTCCCCCCACCCCCCTCTTCTTTTTGCCGTGTCCTCCGCCCCCACCCCCCTGCCAAGTCCCATTACCCGACGGCATATCCATTGCAGGGCGCCCAAAGGTGCACGCTGGCGACCTGGTATGCCTTGGGGGAACGGTCACACAGGGGGGGGAATTCTGAGTGTAATAACAGAGAAATCGACAGAGGCGTCCCGCCAAACTGAAAATCGGAAAACCCTTTGCCCCAAAGGAAAAAACATGTGGCGCTCTGCGTCAAGGAAGGTTGTGCCATGGCCCCTGCATGGCTAGTGTTCAAATTTGGGTTTTCAAGCGGTTTTCCCAAAAAACCACCACCCAGCAAGACTCCTTAAAAAGTCACTAAACTTTGCAGCATTTCAGCCATTCCTACACCGCAAGCCACCCCCTTGAGCGCAGCGCAGACGGAATTCCACAGCACGCCTGATCTGGACTTTTTAAAAAGGGGAATTCAACCCTAATAGTTGACCGCCTTTCGAACGCAAAAGGCCCTCCCGATTTCCTGAGTTAAAAACGGGTAAAGGTATCCCCTGTGTAACTTGATTCACCTTTTCACTAGTGGAAAACCCGCGCTTGTCAGGCCCCTTTTAGAGGGCCACCTATTCGGAGTCGGCAGGACTATGGGAGAACGACTCATTCCCCCTGTGCACTCCTGGAAAAATGCTGTTAACAAAGGCTGGGCAGGGTGCGGTAACGTGGGGCCCCAATCCAAGCCACATGACCCCTGTGGGGGCAGGCAGGGAAAAAAGGAGGGGTAGAAAGGACATTGGTGCCCGGAATTATTGAGTGAAATGGGGGGTTTTTTCCACTCAGGGACGGAGTGGAGGAGCAGGACATCTGGTAGAGGGGAGGGGGAAAAGAGGGCCCAACGCACCGTGGGCAGCATGCTGTGGAGATGGGGCAGGGGCCCTCGCATTCCCGGCACAAAAGGCCCATAGCATGCCGGTTGCTTGCGTAGCGAAAACCGAAAATAAACCCTCAGACAGGGGAGACTTTTGGCTTCCCCCTTGTTGGACCCTCGTAAAAAGTTCAAAAAAGGTGGCCTTTTTCACACCTGCTGAGAGGGAGGGCCAAAAAAAACACTATAAAAACCCCTATGTAGTCTTTGGTCTTGCCTTTCTGCGCCCAAAGCCTCCTCAGACACTGTGGGCCCTGTGCCTCGCGTTTCCCTGCCATGGCAGCAGGGGGGGGGGTGGGGTGGGTGGGCTCAGTTCCCCCCAGCACGGCTGCCTCAGTCTGCAGTCGATGATGATAGCTTTTTTCCCCCACGCAGTGAGAAACTACTAAACCCAGCGCACAGATCAGGTGGACCTGGAGCGGACCTCAAACAACAGGCTTGGGCCTACTGGACAGCACCCCGGGGCCCAACCGAGGAGACAACCCTTCACTGGGCAAACGAAACTTGACCCTTTGCCCCAACTAGCTGAATTTTGCCCTTGAAGGCTGTCATGCCGGCCAGTCGTGGCATCGGGGCGCGGTTTTGTGCGGCGGGGTATTGAACCCGCGGAAAGGGCACACTGTCCACCCAAAGGTGGAGAGACCACGTTTGTGAAAATGAATCAGGCGTGGGTTTGTCTGGTTTTAAACCACGAGATCCTGACACATTTTCTAAATCCGCCATGAATCATGCCCCAAACATTTATTATTTTTTAAAATGGCCTCTGTTGGCCTTCAATTTTAAACTGCTTCGCTTCGCCACTCGCCCTGGGCCCCTGACCGCCCCTCTTGCTTTGCCAGGTCCAAGTGTGCATGGGTCCCTGTACGGCCCCCATTTCTGCGTCTCCATCGCCACACTCTGCCCTGTGCCACTTTCAGGTCTCCTCACACTGTGTGGGTTCCATTTTGTCATAGGGTCTGGAGATTAGGGCCTCCCCTTGCGCTGCCAGGCCCGTAACTGCCATGGGCCCCTGTACCCCTCCTCATGCTGGGCCAGGTCCAGAGTGTGTCATGGGTCCCGTACGGCCTCCCATTGCTGCTGTCTCCCTCCCACACTCTGCCATTTCCACTTTTAGGTCTCCTCACATGCGGTGGTTCCTTTTGTCATAGGGTGCTGGCAGATTACGGGCCTCCTTGCTGCTGCCGGGGGGGGGGCCTAACTGCCATGGGCCCCCTGTACCGCCCCCTCATGGCTGCCAGGTCCGAGTGTGTATGGGTCCCTTTACGGCCTCCCCTTGCTGCTGTCCCATCGCCACACCTGCCCTTTGCCACTTTCAGGTCCCTACACTGCTGGTGGGGTTTCCCTTTTTGTTCCATAAGGGGTTTTCTGGCGATTAGGGCCTCCCATTCTGCTGGGCCCGGCCGTAATCTGCCCTGGGCCCCCTTACCCCCCCCCCTCATGCTGCTGCCCGGTCCAGATGTGTAAAGGGTCCCCCGTACGGCCTCCCATTGCGGGTGTCTCCCCTCGCCACACTCTGCCATGTGCCACTTTCGGTTTTCCTCACACTGCTGGGGGGGTTCATTTTTTTCATAGGGGGCTGGCAGATTACGGGCCTCCCATTGCTCTGCCAGGCCCTAATCTGCCCTGGGCCCCTGACCCCCCCTCCCCCAAATTTCGGGGTTGCCCCCCCTTTTGGCCAGGTCCAGAGTGTGTCATGGGTCCCCCGTACGGCCTCCATTTTGCTGTCTCCATCGCCACACCCCTCCCTGGCCCTTTCAGGTCTCCTCACACTGCTGGGGGGGTTCCCTTTTGTCATAGGGTGCTGTAGGGGCCCCCCATTGCTGCTGCCCCCAAAGCCAATTCTCCCCCCCTTTGGGCCCCTTACGCCCAAAAGGTGAAATTTTGGTGTTTAAAAAGGGTCCCTGTTTTCCGGCTTATTTCTCTTCCCCACGCCAACAATTTTGGCCCTTTCCATTTTAAAAGGTCCTCCCTAAAAAAACCCCTTTTTGGGGGTTCCCAAAAATTTTGTCAAAAGTTTTTCCTTGAATTAACGCCTCCATTTTTTTCTTGCTTCCCAAGGGCCCAAATCTTGAAAAGGGGGGGGCGTAAAAAAAGGGGAAATCTAATGCTGGGGGGGCCAAAAGGGAAAAAATTGAAAAAAGGGGTTTTTAAACCCTTTTTTTTCCCCCTTTTGCTCCCCGCCAGGTTAAGATGTTCATGGGTCGGGGAAAGGTCATTGGGGGGGGGTAGGGGTTAAAAAAAAAGGGGGGGGAAAAGAAAAAAAAAAAAAACCCCCTTTTAAAAAAAGGTTTAAAAATTTTTAAAATTTGGTGGGTTTTTAAAAAAATTTTTAAAAAAAAAAAAAAAAAGGGTTTTCCGCCAAAAAATTGGGGGTTTAGCTTCTTGAGGGTTTTAAAATTTCAATGCCCCCCCCTAACCGGACTCCTTTTAAAAAATGCCCCCGGCCCTTCTTCCCCTGGGGCGCCCCAAAATGTTTGGGGGCCTAGGTCAGAGGGGGGTGGCAGGGCTTCCCCTCTCAGGTTTTGCTGCTATTCCCCCATTTTTTTTGGGTTTTTTTCCTTTTTTCGGTCATTTTAATTTTTCTGGGTTCCTTTTTCATAGGAAGGGTTAATGGCTTTCCATTGGTTTGGGGCCCGCCAAACCCACCAAAAAAGGGCCAAAAATTGGGGGTTCCCAAATCTGGTTTTTTGGGCCCGGGTTTTAAAAAAAATTTTTCCCAAATCGAGTAAAAGGTGGAATTTTCAAAAGATCGAGAAGGCAATTCAATTGGCAAAATTTTTTTATAAAACCTTTTTTAATTTTTTTCAGAATATTTTACTTCCCCAGAGAAATCCAAGGGCCTTTAAAAATTAAAAAATAAACCCGGGGGGTTTTTTTTCACAATATAAACTTCCCCTTTGGCCTGACACCCTTTTTTTAATAAAGGGTATTGGGGGGAATCAAAATTTTTATTTTCCCTTTTAATTTGGGGAAAAATTTAAATTCCTTTTGGGGTTGCAATCGGGAAACCCAAAAAAATTTTGAATTACTTCCTCCAATTTTTAATGGTGGACCCAAAAAAATTTTTTCCCCAAAAATTTTGGGAAAGGGGGAAAAAGGGAGGAAATTCAAAGGGGGAAAGGGGTAAAAGGGAAAAAGGAAAATTTTGGTTGGGGTTTAAACTTTAAAGGGAAAAGGGGAAAGGGGACAGGAAAGGAGAGAAGAGAAAAAGGGTTTAAAAGGGGGATGGGGAAACCCCTTTCTTTTTTCTTTTATCTCAAAACCCCAAAAGGGTATTCAGAGAATAGGGGGAAAAACAATTATAAAAAGATTGGATAATAGTATTTTGGGTGGGATGTTGGCTTTGGTATGGAAAAAAAAGATTTAAAAATGAAAATGATTTGAAACATGCTTTTTTATTAAAAATGTTAAATTTATATTTTTCAAATTTTTAAAGGAAATGGGTTTAAAAATTTTGGGAATTTTTAAATAAATTTTTTTTAATAAAAAAAAAAAAGAAAGATTTTAACGCCTTAAAAATTTTGGTTAAAACCATTAATTAAAAAGTTAATAAATTTTGCCTTTTAATTGGGTCACACCTCAAAACCAGGGGCTGCAACAAAGGTTTTGTTCAAAAAGGTGCCCCCTTGTGGGGAAACTTCTTCCCCTGGGGGCGGACTTTTCATAAAAAGGAAGGGGGATTTGGCAGCATAGGTGAAAACAGGGGGGGGGGGAAAATGGGGTTTACAGAAAAACAATTCGCCACAAAATTCCCAATTAAAATAAGGCCCGAATTAAATTTACTTTTTGGGGGTTTGGGTTTTGTTTACTTTTCATTTTTAATAAACCTGCCTTCTTTAAACCCGATTAGGGGGATTTCCCTTTCCCGTTTGGGTTTTAGAAAAGAATGGGAAATTAAATGGATCTTACCCCAAATATGGTTTTGAAAAACCTTTTGCCCCCAAGTTTTCTATCAAAAAGAAAAAAGGGGGGTGGGTTTTCCTTTGGGGGAAGTTCTGTGAAAGGGTTCCCCATTAAAAGCTGTCCCGAATTGAAAAAAGAAATTGAAAAAGGAAAAAATAAAAATCCCTTCAAACCAAAATAGGAGGGGAAATTTTTTTTCAACAAGAAACATAAGCACCAAGATTTTATATCCTGCCCTTAAGTAAATTGGACTTAAGAGCTACATGTAAATTAAAACTGAAATGTAATCATATTTTGCCTTCATTGGTGCACACTGTCTCAGTAGGGCAGTGGACCATGTGTTGACAGTGTCAGCAGGCAAGAGGTTGGTGTCAGTAGAGCAGTAGATGGTGTCAGTAGGGCACTGGACGGTGTCAGTAGGGCAATGGGCGGTGTCAATAGGGTAGAAGAGAGTGGCAGTAAGGCAGGAGGCGGTGTCAGTAAAGCAGAGAATGGTGTCAGTAGGGTGGTGGACAGTCAGTAGGTCAGTAAGCAGTAGGGCAGTGGATGGTCAGTAGGCAATAGAAGAGTAAATGGGCTTGGCACAGTAGAAATTTGCGTGTACAGTGGTTACAGCCAGGCAAACACTTCCTACACATGTAGAACAGTGAAGCGCCTGTTACACTCCCCTATTCACTTTTCTGGTGTGCGGATTCTTGCCCCCCCCTCCCTTCACTTGTCCATTCCTTGTGATATCACACACAAATGCCTGGAATGGACTTGAGAGGAGGGGCAGATATCAAGGCTATGTTCCTTTCCTGCACCTCTCGGCCTTTGTGAGAGAAGCAGTTTAGACTGGGAGTTGGCCAGGAATGCGATCTACCTGCCACGTGGCAGCAATCGATGGGTGGATTGTGATAAACGGTTTGTTTTCCCCCAAGTTATACAAATATCAAAATACCTTGATGAGTGGGAATCATTCTGGAGGAGTGGGTGCTCTTAGGTGGAATGTATCTGCATACAGACCACTCTAGGTAATGCCCACATTATGATTGAAAGAACTGAAATCCAATGAATGAAAGGAACGAGCCAGAGAAGGTCAGCCTGAAGAAGAAAGAGCTAGATAATGGAGGATATCCTTCAGCCAGGAAATGAGTCCATCCGTGAAATTTCCTTGCTACTAAATATTCCACACTCAACTGTTAGTGGTATTATAACAAACTGGAAGCAACTGGGAACAACAGCAACTCTTACAGCAGGAAAAAGACCCAAAGCACATGTCCAAAAGCACCCATAAATGGTTTCAGACAAAGCCCTGGAGAGTATTGAACTGACCAGTAATTATCGCAATCCCATAGATCACCTGTGGAGAGACCTCAAAACAACAGTTGGGAAAAGAAGCCCTTCCAATCTGAGAGACCTGGAGCAGTTGAAGAAAGAAGAGTGGCCCAAAACTCTAGTAGAGAGGTGTAAGAAACTCATTGATGGTTACAGGCAGTGATTGATTTCAGTTATTATTTCCAAGGGGTGTGCAACCAAATATTAAATTGAGAGTGACAGTAATTTTGTCCAGTCCATCTTTGGGGTTTTGTTTGGAATGTGTCAGATTTGGCTTTTGTTTCATCACTTTTTCGTGTCATACCAATACAAACAAAACATAAAGTGATGCATTATCTGAGAGAAAATGCAGGGGTGCCAATATTTGTGGCCATGACTGTATATAGTGACACCAATTTGCACAGTGCTTTACATATATTGTACATTCACATCCATCCCTGCCCTCAAGGAGTGTTCAATATAAGGTTCATATAGTGAAGTATTCATTTTTGCCTTTTCTATATTCTGCAATAAAAACTAGAAACAATTCATGGGACAGGGCTTTGTGGAACAGAGATGCAGGAGGTAAGCCTTTGTTGAAGAGTTTGGAGTTTGCCACAGCGTAGAGAGGTGAGATCCATCAAACAGCCCACTGGTCCAGAGGCGTAGCTAGGGGGGGCAGGGGGGTACATATGTACCCGGGCGCCAAGGTACAGGGGCGCCAAAATGAGGCTTACAACCAGGGGTGTATTTGGTGAGGCAAACAAGGTGTTTGCCTAGGGTGGCACTTTTTAGGGGGTGGCGTGGTGCCGTCGCCCCCCCCTTCCAACGTAAGGGACACTTAGTACAGGGGCGGGCAGCGGGCTGCTGTGTCTTATCTGGCTCCGTGTCCCAGTCCCACGACGATCCAGTCCAGGAGGCGCTACCGGAGGAGGGGTAGAGAGGTCCGCAGGTCCAGTGTCTTCTTTTCCCTGGATGCGATGTGTGGGCGGGATGACATGCCACCCCTGTCATCTGGCCACACCCTCAGGATCACTGGACAGTCTATGGCAGCTTGTACCTCCCTCTGCAAGCTCTGCCTCCTCACCAGTGATTAGGTGCCAGAACTGTAGTTTAGGAAAGGCACACAGGCGGCCAATCACCTGTGTGGAGGCGGGGCTTGGAGAGGAGGAGCCAATCGGCAGCGCGGCGCTCGAGTGAGGGAGCAGCCGGAGCAAGTGAAGAAGACAGCTGACCGGTAAGTGTGCCATGCAGATGGTGCTCCTGCAGGTATGCTGGCTGTGGATGGGAGAGGGAAGGAGCCTAGGCTGGAGCAGGGGTCAGCAAGGTAAATGTCATTGGTGTCAGTGGGAGGAATAGTGCCCCATCATTGGTGTCACTGATGTGATTAAACGGGAAGGGGGGCTGGGCGCAAATTTTATAGTTCGTCCCCGGGCGCAAAATATCCTAGCTACGTCTCTGCACTGGTCTGATGAGACCACAATTGAAGCTTAAGGCTTTAGTACATAATGCTATGTGTGTAGAAAGCCAACAATGCTCATCACTGTGAGATGTACAGTTGTGTTCAAAATAATAGCAGTTTGTTGAAAAAAGTGAATAAAGCTCAAAATCCTTCTAATAGCTTTTATTTCCATACACACAAATGCATTGGGAACACTACACATTCTATTCCAAATCAAAACATGAAGAAAAATA